GCCCTACCCACTGTGATGTGATGTTTTAGTCTTAGTTTGTTTTTTTCTTTTTCTTTTTCTCCTTACTATGTCATTAGTGCTCCATTAGAGTATCAAAATTAGTGCTCAGAATCATTGTTGTTTTGGTTATAACACATTGTACTATTAATTACTTTGACCTATTGTGATTGTTATTTTAGTTATGACTGAATAGGTTTTTAGTTATATCACAGTTGGTATTTGATTATAACTTATTATGATTTTTGTTATGACTTGATTATGATCTATTGTAGATGTTATTTTGATTACGACAAATAAATCTTTAGTTATACTTTTTTATTATAATCTATTCTGATCTTTTTACTTATAACTAAAAATGATTTAGTTATGATATGTATATGGTATACTCTTTTGATAAGTGTGTATTAGAGAATAACCCATTGTAGGTACAATGTTGGGCAAACTGCAAATAGTTGGGATAATTACAAAATAATTAAGCTACGTATGCAAATCTTTCCTTATGTAACTCTGACATAAAGAAAAAAATTTCACCAAGTACATAAATAAACTTGTATCATACCATTATAAAATAAATTGATTTTCCCAGTGTTCTACATGCAATTTCTCTTAAAATGTTTTGTGATTGTGATTATGGGTAGGAATCTGGGATTGGAGGATCTTGATCTGTTCCTGATACACTGGCCACTGAGGTTGAAACAAGGGATACATAAAACCCCAATTCCAAAGGAGTGCATATTTGGTATGGATGTGAAGTCAGTGTGGGAAGGCATGGAAGAGTGTCAGAGGCTTGGTCTCACCAAAGCCATTGGTGTCAGCAACTTATCCTCTAAGAGGCTCCGTCATCTCCTTTCCTTTGCCCAAATTCCTCCTGCTGTCAACCAGGTCTCTCTTTCCTCTCGCTCTCTCATTGATTTGTGTCACGAGGGAACTATTTAATGCGGTTTATATGAGTTATTTATAATTTTTTTTTTATAATATTGAGAATTTATGTTCAATAATGTTAGGAACACAGAAACTAAATATAGAACGAGATATAATCTTCTCACAAGGGATGTGTCCCATACATGTAGGCTCCATCCTATGTGAAAAGATTGTGTCTAATTTTGTGTTTGGTTTTTGTGCACATTGGCTTACTCATTTATATTAAGCTATTTGGTACAATGTCAATTTACAATTGATTATCTGATAGTTAAAAGAGAAGTGTTTTTAATGTCTACTTTTTAATTATTAATTTTTAACTTAAAATATGTTGTACCAAACATGTCTAAAATAGTTTTGGTACTAAAATGAAATTCCCAATTTAATTTTCACTTTGATTGAAAAGGTGGAGATGAACCCACTTCAGCAGCAAAAAGAACTGAGGGATTACTGCAAATCAAAGGGCATACACATCACTGCATGCTCCCCTTTGGGCGCAAGAGGCACCACATGGGGAGACAACCAAATCACGGAGTGTTCTCTACTTGAAGAAATGCTAAGGCCAAAGGCAAAACTACTGCCCAGGTTTGCCCCTAACTTTCCCCCTCATCTTCAAACAATATAGGAAAAGCCTAATTTGATGGACAAAAAAATTATTTTTTAAATTTGAGCAATTTGAATTATACAACCAATTAGCAATTTACTCACTATTTTTAAATTAGGGGTGAAAAAAGATGAAGACAAGGTGTTTACTTAAGAAGTATAAGTGTCTAATATGTAGTGCGCGTAAGAAAATCACTGTTTGCATGATTTGTGTTGTCTAAATTGTAAAATTATCTTTTTACCCGCTGTGTTAGATTTTTACCATTACTTAAATAGGTTTTTAATGAGATGAACCCACGTTGAGCTTTAAGATCTTGATTTTTTATGATGTATAAAAGTTTATCAAGCCTAGTAAATTGTTCGAGTTTACTTTGATAACAAGTTTTAAAATGTATTTAAGCTTAACTTATTTGTATAACAAACTGATCCTGAACAAGTTAAATATAAGTCGAGTTTAAGTGATTTGATTCGTTTAACAGCCCTACTACTGATAAGAAAAGTATATACGTAGGTTTCTCTGAGAGGTGTATGAGCAAGGGGTGAGTTGGGTAGCAAAGAGCTTCAACAAGGAGAGGATGAGAGAGAACCTTCAGATCTTTGATTGGTCACTGACAGAGGAAGAGTCAAAGAAGATCAGTGAGCTTCCTCAGCGCGAAGGAGTTTTCTTAGGAGGCTCTTTCATGGAGCCTCATGATTTGATAAATGAGATTGATGCAGAGATATAAAACAACAACAATGGCACAAACCAATTAGCATTATAGTATAATCCCTAATCAACAATGATAGAGATTCCCTTTTTTAGAGATCCCCACAATCTCCAGAATGATTCACACCACTCATAATGTGAGCCTCACACATACATGAGTGTGGTGTAGATCACTTTAGGGATTATGAGTATCTCCAAAAAAAAAAAAAAAAAAAAAAATGGGATTTCACTCATTTTTCAATCCCTAATATACTTTCAAATAAGTCAAGCTTGACATGTGGAATGTTAGGTTTCATGGCATCTTTTTTTATTTTTTATTTTTTATTTTTTTGACAAAACTACACATCTTATGTACCCTATGAGTAGGGGTGTGCATAATATCGTCGAAACTGGCAAAATCGTACCGAACCGCACCGTCAAGGCAAATTCGTTATTATTTGCCAATCGAACTGCCGATTTTTGGTAAGAAAAATGACAAATTTTAGTGACACTTCTATCAATCCGTCGGTTTCTATTTTTCTTCCAAACCGCACCGACCTGCACCGCTATTAAATCATGTTTTATAAGTTTTTAAAAATTCTTTTTTACTTAAGTTTGCTTGTTGTTCTATACCTTAGAATATAGTATTACATTACTGCTCGAGGGGAGGGGAATTCAAGATGTCAGTAATCCAAAATAAAGTTGGATTCCAATTCACTTTTCAATCTTTTTTTTTTTTCTGACCATGTTGCAAAATTGCATCAGCTCACTTTTCAATCTAAATACTTTTCAACAGTAAGCATTTTCAATATATTGTAAACCCTGAATGATATTAATTTTATGTATTGTATTTGATCATTGTAGCTTCCACAGATGCTTGTAATGAACTAATAGCATAGTCGTTGATATTATCATGTTGTTGCTACATTTGCTGCATCAGAAGAAAGCTTCGCAAGATGCTTAACATCACGGTATCTCTCGTCTTTTTTTTACTCTTTGATTTAAGTTTTGTAATTTGAATTATTATTTTATAAACCGCCAATCCGCCCGAACCGCCAAGGCAAATCCATCATTATTTGCCAACTGAACCGCCAATTTTTGATAAGAAAAATGGCAAATTCTAGTGACACTTTTATCAATCCACCACCCGCCATACAGTTTCTATTTTTCTCTCAAACCGCACCGACCCGCACCGCGCACACCCCTACATGTGAGTTTGGAAAGTTGCTAAATAAGTAACTTATTTATTTATTTACTACAAACTATCACATTATTTTTCTATTTTTTTTTTTGTACATCTTTTTACAAAAAAAAAAAAAAATCAAAAAGCCATTAAATAAGCAAATTCCAAACAATCAAACTTCTTTTGGCAACCAGCTTATAAACCACAGTTTTTTGTATTCATTTTTATATTTAGTGCTTTTTTTTTAATTTTTTTTTTTTTAATTTTTTTAGGTCCATATTTGAAGACCCTAAAAAAAAATTTAAATTCACTAAAAATGAAAATAAGTCAAATTCCAAAAAATAGTAATAACATGCCTAGCTAATCTGTGAGCTTTGTGCATGCCTGCATCCACACAGACAGTCCGTATAAATTGAATATCCTTCTCAAATTGAAAGTTGACAATTAAATAGAAAAATAAAAATAAAAACTTATATTTCATTGGAGCAGTGAAAAAAAATAAAAAAATTACATTTTCATGATGGTACAACTCCCCTATGTCCATGGTGCAAATTCATTTGCAGTGAAATTTTTTTTCCCACTACTCCATGTATTTGCAATTTCCCCTAGAAAAATTGAGACTATTCAGTGCAATTTTTCTTAAATTGAAAGTTAATAATCAGAAAGAAGAAAGTAGTAATATACACTGTAGCATAGGTTCTCCAAAAAATAAAAATAAATAGAAGAAGAAAACTATATAGATAAGCAACTCCAATAAGCTATACCAAACAAGACTATTAAAATTGGTTTGTGTTGTCATGAAATCGGATGCACTATACAGCACCTTAGATCCAACCAGCCTCTTTACCTGTTCTTTAGCAAATAAAAACCTAGGTTCAAATCCCTACTTCACCGTATACATGAAGCTAAAGGTGATCGCACACCAAAGGTTCGATCAGGGGGTTCAAAAAAAAGCACAAGAGAAGGCAGAAAAAAAGCTAGGGAAGTGGAGGATTGATTCAAAAAGTGTTACAAACAAAAATAGGGAACAAGCCCAGTATAAGGATTTTCAGGGACCAGTTCAGAGTACTCGGTGGTGAGGAAAGCAGTTTCAGATAAGGGAATCACTATTGTATCTCTACAAGGAAGGACGGGATTCCATTAAACGAAAAGCCTCCTTACACCTAATTAGCGAGAGTTTTAACTAGCAGTAGTACCTACACCAACCAAACATGTGCTTTAACAGGACTTGATGCTTAAAAGGTGTTCCTGAAAATATAAGATTTCTGATTTCCAAAACATGAAGAGCCATGATTCACCAAAGCTTGCCCTATATCTCAACTTGGAAAAAAGTTGCAAACCTTGTAAGGTTAAACCTTGGAATTGGAGTCTTTCCTGTCCTAAAGCGATCTGAACCTTTGGTTGCTCAGACCCATTAGCATGATTTATTTGCAAAAAGAAATAGTAAGCACTGAAAAGACCAGTTGACAATCTTACACGCAATATGATAGAAATGTCAACTAATTGGTTCGAAACTCATTATAAGCACACTCTATTTTCTTTCAACATTCATGTATTTTGCATGTACAAGTATCTGTCGGATAAAAACATCAAAATAAATCATTCTTAGGATGAACCACATGTAAGAGAATTTATTATTTATTCAGCAAATCAATAAAGGGATTTCATTGTGGGCAACTTAAAGCTTATATTACATAAGGAATCAAAATTCATTTTCCAGGAACTGAAGGTATGTGTAACAATAAAAGAAAGAACTGAGTGGATCCTATCAAAAATGAGAACTCCCATCCGTAGAACCTTCTCGAAGTGAGAGGTACTTTGCAGACTACCTTCTAGCCAAAAACAGGAACCCTTCTCTATGACAAAAAATAGAAGACGAATAGAGAGAGAGAGAGTACACCTTAAAGACCAACACACTACTCGCACTTGATAGACCGGTATATGTGGCGAACAAAGAGCAAAGCAGCCCGGAAACCAACAGCCCCAAGCATGAGAAAAAACCCATAACAAATGCATGCCATGTACCCAAAGAAAAATGAAGTTTGCATGAAGCCAGACATGTCTGATCTTGCATGGTAGTAATACAAGCTGTAGCCATAGATGAATAAGCCAGTTGATCCACCGCAAAGAAAAGACCTGTGGCAAATCAAGCACACAAATTAGTCCAAAAGACAACAGTCTCATGCCCTTTTTTTTTTTTTGGCATCACACAGATATCAAAACAACAGAATTTAACCAGTGGCAATTTACCAAACAATATCCTAAATGATGTTGCAAAAGTCTGAGATATTCAAATGCCCTAGTGAAAAACTGAGCCTTCATTTGAAAGATCTAGGCAAATACTTTGCCAACTAGGCCTAAGATGAAATGGCATGAATGATTTTGATCCACTGCACATGTACCAGGACATGGTTCGCATTACAAATGGATTCATAAAAAAACTTTTCATCCAATGGTTTAGAATTAGGAGCTTTCTCTAGGTTCATGGATCCAACGGTACCAGGTTACTGTTGCTCCAACCCCATGCATGCATGTAAAGAGTCATGCAAAGATGGCGTATAAGGGCCTCCACCTCAAGTGAAAGTCTGAGCTGGGCATCTGCAAAACTCTCCCTTCTCTTCACGTTGTTGCCTTTGTTGATTCTCACCATTCATCATTAAGAAGGTAGAAAATTGTGGTGGGTTTGTTTTCCCTCTCTCTATCTCTCTGTGTATAAATAGAGACGGGAGGGAGAGGATGAATGTATCAAAAAAAGAGAGTTGTGAGAAGTGTTTGAGAGCTCTGAGTTGAGTAGAGAGAGTGAGATACTCCTCCTCCGTTTTGTATTATTGCTCTGTTTTAGTGAAATTCTCATTTATGCACCGTGGACATAGGCATTGGGCCGAACCACGTAAATATTTGTGTTCTGTGTGTGCGTGTAATTTATATTCTAGGTGTCCATGATCCTAACAAAGTGGTATCAGAGCGAGTTCGGTGTTTTTCAGCAAAACAAAGTGTTTTTCAAAATTTGCCTAGAATTCAAAGTGGTCGAAATCCACTTTTGATCACACCAGGTGAAAACCCTCAACGAGAATAGCACACTTAAAAAAAACACGTCAAAAATCTAGGCCTAAGATGAAATGACATGAATGATTTTGATCCACTGCACATGTACCAGGACATGGTTCGCATTACAAATGGATTCATAAAAAAACTTTTCATCCAATGGTTTAGAATTAGGAGCTTTCTCTAGGTTCATGGATTGCTCCAACCCCATGCATGCATGTAAAGAGTCATGCAAAGATGGCGTATAAGGGCCTCCACCTCAAGTGAAAGTCTGAGCTGGGCATCTGCAAAACTCTCCCTTCTCTTCACGTTGTTGCCTTTGTTGATTCTCACCATTCACCATTAAGAAGGTAGAAAATTGTGGTGGGTTTGTTTTCCCTCTCTCTCTCTCTCTCTCTCTCTCTGTATAAATAGAGACGGGAGGGAGAGGATGAATGTATCAAAAAAAGAGAGTTGTGAGAAGTGTTTGAGAGCTCTAAGTTGAGTAGAGAGAGTGAGATACTCCTCCTCCTCTGTTTTGTATTATTGCTCTGTTTTAGTGAAATTCTCATTTATGCACCGTGGACACAGGCATTGAGCCGAACCACGTAAATATTTGTGTTCTGTGTGTGTGTAATTTATATTCTGGGTGTCCATGATCCTAACAAAGTGGTATCAGAGCGAGTTCGGTGTTTTTCGGCAAAACAAAGTGTTTTTCAAAATTTGCCCAGAATTCAAAGTGGTCGAAATCCACTTTTGATCACACCAGGTGAAAACCCTCAACGAGAATAGCACACTTAAAAAAAACACGTCAAAAATGGAGGTCAGAGGAGGCAGCACGCGCCACACGCGAACTTGACGCCGTTCTCACTCACCAGTGACTGGCTGCACGCGCCTCACGCGTAAACACAGCGGAGAAGACGATCTGACGTCATCCGCTGATGTCATCCAAGCCAAGCCGGAGCCGTTGACCGCACCGCTGACTGCAGCCACGCCGCTAACCAAGCCGTGTTAACCGAGTCGCTGACCAAGCCGCTCGCCGACCAAGCCACACCGCCGCCGCTGACGTCAGCCTGACCCCAACCAAACCGGAAGAATTATCCGGTGCTTCTTAGCCGCACCAGATTCTGCCAATCTGAACCGTTCAACTTGTCTTGGCTTGATCTAAGTCATTCTAAGTTCGTTTTTTATGATCCAATAGTGCTTTCCAACTATTTGGAATATTCCGGACACATCCGTACGGGTCCGATTTTGCAAATTAGATTTCAAAAATTTGCAGTCTTTATTTTGGCAATCTAAAGTGCTTTTCTGGCTAATATGACCAATCCAGACTCAACAGCGAAGCCTGTTTTTCAGAAAAAGATCATTTTCTGTAGAGACAAGTATAGATGGAGGAATCAACATCAACTTCGGGATCTATGATCAAGCTGAATGCTTCCAACTATGCCATTTGGAAGCCCAGAATGGAAGATGTCTTGTACTGCCGAGATTTGTTTGACCTCATTGAGCTTCATGGAGTTAAACCAGCAACTGAAACTGACGAAGACTGGAAGCAGAAGAATCGAAAAACCATTAGCTAGATCAGATAATAGATTGATCACAGTGTCTTCCACCATGTCGCCCAGGAGACTGATGCCTATGCTCTTTGGACGAAGTTAGAAGGCATATACCAGTCAAAGACCGCTTGAAACAAAGCCCTCCTAATGAGAAGACTTGTAAATTTGAAACTAAAAGACAGTATTTCTGTTGTTGAATACACCAGTGAGTTACAAAATCTGGTGAACTAACTGGCAACTGTCAAAATGGAGTTAGATAATGAGATGCAGGCTGTATTATTACTCAGTTCTTTGCCTGTTGGGAGACGGTGGTGTCCCTCAGCAACTCTACACCAGAAGGAAGACTGACCACGAACATGGTCACTGATGCTTTATTTAGTGAAGAGGCAAGAAAGAAAGACATGGGTGGAGATCAATCCTATACCCTTGTCACAGAAAATAAACGTAGAGGCAGAGGCAAGGGAAGAAGCAAAAACAAAATACGCAGCAGAGAAAGATCTCAAGACAGAAGGAAATCCAGAGAAGGTACGAACCGGCCAAGGTTCAAGTGTTACCATTGTAGCCAGGAGGGTCACATAAAGAAATGTAAGATAAATTGATATAGAGAGAAATTGTATATATTATGATTGATGTTATTGATTGATGTTTGTAATTGTTAATTTATTGAATGTTACAATGATTCCTATATATAGAAGAGTAGGTAGACTGAAGATGGGAACATTGCAGTTACTATCTTCGAGGATATTGCATTATTCTTTGTTGAAAAAGAAGAATTCCTCCATATATCAGACAATGACACCGAGTGGGTGGTAGATACAGCAGCTTCCTACCACTCTACATCCCGGAAGGAGTTTTTCAGTACGTACCAAGCTGGAGATTTTGGTACAATGAAGATGGATAACTCCAGTTTTTCGAAGATTGTGGAAATTCGGTGATTGTTTGCATCCAAACCAAAGTTCGGCGCACAATGGTGTTGAAAGATATCAGGCATGTTTCCGATTTACGCCTGAATCTTATCTCAAGGATAGCCTTAGATCGACAAGGCTATGAGAACTACTTCAGCAAAGGCATATAGAAGTTGAAAAGGGGATCTCTGGTGGTAGCCAGAGGACAGGCAATTGGCACACTGTAGAAGACTCATGTGGAGGTGAATTCAGATAGCCTCAACGCAGCAGAAGATAAGGCGTCATCAAATTTGTGGCACAAAAGGCTGGGTCACATAAGTGAATAAAGGTTGCAGATTCTGACAAAGAAGTCTCTTATTCCCTTTGACAAAGATGCGAAATTGAATCCTTGCAGCTTGTTTGGGAAGCATCATAAAGTCGCTTTCCATTCATCATGCAGAAGCCAATCAGAGTTGTTGAGCAGAGTATACTCTGATGTATGCGGTCCCATAGAAGTGGAATCTTTGGGTGGCAGAAAATACTTGCTGACGTTTATTGATGATGCATCACGAAAGGTATAGGTTTATGTCCTAAAGACCAAAGCTAAGGTGTTCCAGCATTTTCATACATTTCATGCTATGGTGGAAAGGGAGAACAAAAAGAAGCTGAAGTGTCTCTGAATAGACAATGGAGGCGAGTACATGTCAAAGGAGTTTGAAGCCTATTGTGCTAGTCGCGGCATTCGGCATGAGAAGACTATTCCTGGAACCCCACAACACAATGGTGTAGCCGAAAGAATGAACCAGACCATTGTGGAGAAGGTCAGATGTATACTCAAAATGGCAAAGCTACCAAAGCCATTTTGGGAAGAAACTGTTCGTGTTGCCTGCTATCTGATTAACAGATCGCCATCTATTCCACTGAATTTTCAGATTCCAGAAGAAGCATGGTCTAGAAGGGAGATTTCCTACTCTCACTTGAGAGTGTTTGGGTGCAAAGCATTTACACATGTATCGAAGGAGCACAGACAGAAGCTGGATGATAAGGCCACTCCATGCATCTTTATTGGCTATGGAGATGAAAAATTTGGATACAAATTATGAGATCCGAAAAACAAGAAGGTCATTCGAAGCTGAGATGTGGTGTTTCAAGAAGGCCAAACCTTAGAGGACTTTGGGCAACCAGACAAACCCAAAGTTGATGTTTCAGAAATTATTCCCAATCCTGCACCATCACAGCATGCCACTGATGAAGAAGAGCTACCGCAACATGCAGCCGATAATGTAGAGTTGCAGGATGGATTTCCAAAAGAAGATCCAGAAGAAGAGGGTGTTGAGCAGGGGGAGTCACAACCCTCTCTGCCAGAGACTGTTGGTCCACAATTATGAAGATCAATAAGAGAGTCTAAGCTGTCGTCAAAATACCCTACTTTCTAAGTATATTTTGCTTACTGATGAAGGGGAGCTAGAAAGTTTTCAAGAAGCTTAGAATCATAAGGAGAAGAGTAGCTAGTAGCAAGCTATGCAAGAAAAGATGCAGTCCTTGCAAAAAAATCAGACTTATGATTTGATAAACTTCCCCAGGGTCGAAAAGCATTGCAGAACAAATAGGTGTTCAAGTTGAAGAAAGATGGTAGCAGGAAGCTAGTCAAGTATAAGGCCCAATTAGTTGT